TACTAGCCCGACTAATCTAGATTGGCAGCGTAAGAGACAAAAGGAGAGGGGTTATAGAAACGATCTCTACCAAAAAGTTTTTCTTTCTTAAGACTTGAACCCGAGACCTCTAGTTAGTGATCCCAACCATCCTACTATGGTAATAGCATCAGTTTTTCTTTTCTTTTTGTTTTAGGCATCCGATATCAGAAACCTACTAGCCCGACTAATCCAGATTGACAGCGTAAGCAACAAAAGGGGAGGGGTTATAAAAGCGCTATCTACCAAGAAATTTTTCATTCTTAAGACTTGAACCTGAGACCTCTGCTTAGCAATAGAGTGATCCCAACCATCCTACTAGGGTAATAGCATTGGTTTTTCTTTTCTTTTTACTTTAGGCATCCGATATCAGAAATCTACAAGCCCGACTAATCCATATTGATAACGTAAGCGACATAAGGGGAGGGGTTACAAAAGCGCTCTCTACCAAGAAGTTTTTCATTCTCAAGACTTGAAAACGAGACCTCTAATTAAGAATAAAGTGATTCCAACCATCCTACTATGGTAATAGCATCAGTTATTTCACCTGGCCAAGTTCTGGATCTTGCACAACAGTACCATTGCAGCAAAATTCCTTCTTGAGGTCCTTCAGAATTTTATTATAGCTGAATTCCCTCTTCAGGCCTTGAACTGTAGTCAGACTTTTCCTGCCATTTCGCTGCTGAACTCGGATATGCACATACTCTTTCGCACCTGCACCTGAGTTCTGAGCATTTGCATCAGCGAACGGATCTGTCCTCACCAGACAAAGCACAAAACAATGTTACTGTAATCAGTTGGTTGTCAACAATAACATAAGTGGAAAAAGGAGAAACAACAACAACTATGCGTCATAGCGTCAGTCCCAAATAAGCTGGGGTCGGCTATATGAATCCTACACTGCTTCATTTAAGCTTAACTCATGTCATCTGTGAGCAATAGGAAGACCAGAACAATAACGAAAAAAGGGATACTACATACCAAAGTTGGTAGGGATTTGGACGTCGATCTCAGACATGAACCTAGCTTTCAGAAGTACGGAGAACAACCTTGAATGCAAAATTCCAGCTGAAATGAAAAAACAAGAAGTGATTCACTTTCAAGCTCATGTATACTACTAAAAGAGTAACATTAAGGGAAAACAACAGAAAAGGTTCAGTTATTTGATGAAATAGAAAATTGCACGTTTAGTCCGCCATTTACCGGCAGTGGCGGATCCAAAATTTTAAAGCGATAGGTACTAGCCGATAAAAAATCCGAAAGAAGAGGAAAAAAAAGTTTAGTTATGGGTGCTCACTCTATATTTATCTAATTATTTTTATAATTGTCTATGCAAATTTACTAAATCCGGTTAAAAGTAATGGGTGCTTAAGCACCGATAAGTATCCATGTACATCCGCCACTGTTTACCAGGATACTAAGCTCCCGCTATGCGTGGGACCGGGGAAGGGCGGGACTAGGAGTGGCAAACGGGCGGGTCGGGTCGGATATGGTTCGGGTCGAAAACGAGTAATGAAAAAACGGATAAATTATCCGACCCAGCTCATATTTAATACAGATAGAAAACGGGTTAACCGGTGGATAATATGAGTAACCATATTATTCATGACTTCTTGCATATGATCACTTTTGGGAGAATTCTTAGTCTCCCTAACTTGAGGAACCCCAATTTGAGGTTTTACAAATGTAAAAGTTAGATCCACCAGTTATCCATTTTTTAAATGGATAATATGGTTCTTATCCATATTTGACCCGTTTTTAAAAAGTTCATTATCCAACCCATTTTTTAGTGGATAATATGAGTGGTTAACCGTTTTCTTTGAACCATTTTGCCACCACTAGGCGGGACTATAAGGGTCTATTGTATGCAGTCTTACCCTACATTTCTGCAAGAGGCTGTTTCCACGATTTGAACCCGTGACCTCCTGGTTACATGAGGCAGCAACTTTACCAGTTACTCCAAGCATCCCCTTCCTAATCTGCCATTTACTGATAGATTTTATTGGCTATCGGAATTCTAATTAAGGACATTCAACCTAAAAGTAGTAGAATTGCACGTTTTTGTTCCTTAATTAACAAATTTATACTAATCAAATGAAGCTTTCAACTTAGAATAAAAATTAAAAATAGAAATAGAATTTCATCCTAAGCTCACCATACAGGCTGGCTATAAACAATCCTTTCGGGGCAGAATACTCGAATTGCGAAAGCATCCATTTTTGTGACCTAAATGCTATAGACTAGGGGTTGGAATTTTAGCCCAAACCCTTTCAACCCGCCTAAGGTTGAGCCTGTCATTGACCTACCCATTTATTGAATCAGCCTATTTTGACCAGCCCGGAAACGATTTGTTCTTAATGATGAATCGATCATTTGATATCTTTTTCTTTCTCCCACTTCGTCCGACCCCAACTAGTTTGTGATTAAAGCGTAGTTAATTGATTGATTATCCCCCTTCATGGTTATAAAAATTAGTCTTTTTCTGTTTCTCTATTTCTTCAATGTCAAATCAAGAATAAATTAGAGGTCATAATTGTATGGAACTAACACCAAATAAAGACTAAAAATAGAAAAATTAACACCCAATATCCATATAAACAAGCCTAATAAGGTCCAATATTCTGTTTTATCAGAAATAAATATGGTGAAAAAAGATGCTTTTATTGGAACTTTGATCAAATATACTACTAGTATTTTCTTATTTTTTCTGAATACTGAAGAAAGAGATGAAACAAAAGAAATATACAATAACCAAAATATCAATTCAGGGTATAAAAAATAATCAAGAAAGCTGCATGCATGAACAAACAGACAAAAACTAGTAAATTTTGATATTATAACAAACTCTGAACAACAAGAATTACATTAAAGAATTAGAAAAAAAAAAACATATTCTTGTTTAAATTAAGTTGAAAATTGAAGAGAATTTACCTGACAAGAAGAAGAAACAGAGATAGGAGTTGAAATATAGAGAAAAAATTGTATAGAATGAAATTAATGTTTAAAAGATGAAATGTGAGGAGATAAAAAAAGGTTTATATATAGAGAGATACAAAAACAGACAATGTTACACTTTTTAGAATGATCAGACACTTGGATTGTTCTTCTTTTTTATGGAATCTCAGCTTCCAAAATTATCTTTCAGTTATTACAACAAGTTTACGTTTATTAGGACCCGTGCATGGTGGCCAACCTCAATATCATATTCTCTCTGTTTCTTTTTTTTTTTTAATGCATTTTTTTTTTCTTTTTTGATTTTATGTTGTAGGCGCTGGCTAACTGTGGAAAAAATATTTTCACAAATAAAAAAAAGATATTTCGGCGCACAAGGTATCCTGCATCGCACCCCTAGAGGTCTGATGTAGACGGTCTATCCTAATGCAAGCATTAGTGGTTGTTTTTACGGCTCGAACACGTAGAGCCCGTTTGGGTTAGCTGATTGTAAATAGCTGATAAACTTGAAACGCTAAAAAGTATTTTTAAGTGTTGAAACTAATTTTTTAAACAAGCATTTACGTGTTTGGATAGATGTATTGAAACTGATAATTGATTAAAGAAATACTGATAAACTGTTCTATTATAAAAAATAACTAAAATACCCTAAAAACTTTACAAAAGATTATAAATTTAAAAGTTTCTTTATAAAGAAAAGCGTGAACAATGAATATAGAATGATGAAAAAGTTAAAAAATATTATTTTTTTTCCTTTTTTGATTTTATGTTGTATGCGCTAGCTAATGGTGTAAAAAATATTTTCACAAATAAAAAAAAGGATATCCTGGTAACAAAGCATCCTGCATCGCACCCTAGAGGTCTGATGTAGACGGTCTATCCTAATGCAAGTATTACTGGCTGTTTTCACGGCTCAAACATGTGACAGATAGATCAATATGGAGACAACTCTACCGTCACAGATAACAAAGTAATAAATCCTTTGTTTTTCATCTTCTTCCAACCTCCCTTTCAGTTGATCTCTCTCCTGTTTAGTTTTTCTATCAACTTCTCTTTTAGTTGATCGCTTTTTTCTTTGACTTTGAACAGTGTTCAAGTAGATCCCTGGCTTCTTCAACTTCTTTGATCCTACATTATAATTTACTTTTGCAACTTCAGTCGCGTATGCATGAAGTTGATGTTAAAGTGGCTTGCAAATTTTTATACACGGCATCTATGGCATAAACAACGGTCCCAAAATTGACTATTTGTGCACTTTACTCGGTTGATGAAGACCGGTCAAAAAGCCGAATCGGCAGGCTTCTAAATTAACAAGCTTCTGAAAAATTGGTGCATACATACCTTAGATAAATCTCACATCGAAAAAGGAGGAAGAGTGAAACCATATACAAGATAAAGCACAAGTTCACATAATAATTGGTATGTGTCCTTTTGCACTCAATGATGGATTAACTCGAGAGATAAATCCGTGAGGTTTGTTAGGAGTTAGGCCAATATGAATAATACGTGCCGTGAGCTTGAATTATAACATAGTTTAAGATTTTTTACACTGTCAATGACTTTTCATCTATAATTAATGCTCAGAAACTTACATGTATTTAACTTATAAGTGACCAAATTGTGTAAACATTTTTTATACCTACATGGCTCGTTTGGTACGAGTGATAAGGGATAATTAATCCCGCGATTAAATTTAAGATGAGTTTATCCCACGTTTGGTTGGGATAAAATCATAGTATAACTAATCCCGGGATAACTAATCATGGGATAACTTGTTTTCCAACCAAACGACCCCTCAGAGTATAGAACTTAAACTTTCTTATATTCGAGTCCAGCTTAAATCAGCTGAGTAAAGGCTCAAATCAGCTGAGCAAAGGCTCAGGGACTCACCTTAAAAGATGCAAATAACAAAAGCAGTTCTCAAAATATGATTGCATTGGAGAAGATAGGTTGCATTCCTAGGTAATTTCAAGGATAAGAAAACATGGGAGTAATAGCTAGAAGCCTAGAACAAAAAGAACAAGGCAGGGTGGGGAAAACACATCAGCTGTATATGGAAAACTAGCTGATAAATGGCACTCACATTCTAAAGATTCATGCCTAATAATATATACAGAAGCAAGGACTCTAATTGAGTGTCAACCGACGAAGAGCTCATCAACTGTCTACAGAAAATCAGCTCATAATGGTGCTACCAACATTCTAAAAGATTCGTATCGCAGAATATATACGGAAAAAGCAAGGACTCTAATCTAGTGTCAATTGATAATTAAATCATTAAACTTATCACCTAACACAATAATCCCATCATCGAGAATATCATGAGTCTTGGTTGGTGTATAGCTTCACTTGTCTTGGCCAAACTTGGCCATACACGTCTTTCTTGGTATAACGACGATCCCATGACCAAGGGATATCTGCATTTAACAAAAAATGTGGTGAGCTTGATGTTGTAGCGGAGCAGCATATAATGGGATTCTAATAGAAAAGCAGAGCTAAGACCTTCAGGATAATATGGTTTTGGAGGAAGCTCGTAAGGCACAGGCAACTTTATTACTTCGGCAGAATCATCGTTTTCCTTTCCTTTCCAAGCCAGAGTTACCAGCTTTATTCTTTTCCCTTCGTGCATACTAGTTTCGTCCTGTAAATTCAAAGAATCAAAAGCCGGACGATACATATCAAGCTAATAAAGCATAAATATAACACGAAAAACCTAGATTATAGTTGTACCTCTGATGGATAACCATTATCTGTACAAGAAAATCCACAGCCACGTTTAACAGAAGATGACAAAAAGAGCACGCCTAGCTGTCAAGGGCAGCAATAAGTTACAATCACAGAGTCATTTTTGCAACCTCAACTCAAGATGAAATTAAAGGATAAACAAGATATCAATATTAATCCATGAAAACTATCACCAAAAAAAAGATATGATTCAACTTTAGGGGAAATGCGTAAAGGGGGAATTTCTCCACGTGTCCACATACATTGCAGTGGTTTATAGCGCTAGGACTGATTAAAATGCACATGAGGAGGGCCATCGATAAAAAAAGGGCAAAAGTGGTTCTTAATGGAAAGTGCATTCATATTGGCAAAGTATAACGGTAGACAAAAGTAAGCAATAGTCGATAGTTCAGGTGCAAGTTTGGAACTTTTTACTAATTACGTATCATCGATATCTATTTCAGTTCGTCTCTTGAATGCTTATAGCCTCTCAGAGAGAGAGAAAAATACCTCGTAGGAACGAATCATCAACTGAGAATTATTTTTCTGAAGACTTCCCCAGGCAGCTTTGCTGAGATTTGACGAAGTAAGCAATAACCACCTGTTTTATCAGAGAAAGAAAACGAACATTAACAAAAGCAATCATGTAACATTGAAGGCTACTGGAGAAATCAAATCTCCAAGCAGAGTTCAGGAGTCATACGCTAATGATTGACCATTGTAGCGTAGAAACGTCTTGATATGAGGCATTGCACGACTGAAGCATTAGAAGAACAAAAGGTAAGTGTCCTTTCTCCAGAAAATCAATGAAAGCAAGAGCCAAAATCCTGCCTATTCATTCTGTTAATGTACTTGGTACTGGAATAGACGTAAACAGATTTTTTGGAATTTTATGAGTGTGATTATGCAAGTACATCAGCATTTCCACTAGAACCATTGATCCTACAGCAGCTTCGCAATGATCCTCGTCCGTGCGTTGTTATGTTACTCAAACATTGGACAACTACCACATAATTTTACAAGATATATTGTATGAGTTTATAATAGTCCCCTAGCAATTTATTTCGCAACGCATACAGCCGAAGTACGTAAAAGTAGAGACAAGGTTACAAAAGGTTATGCTAGTGCGACTGCTTTCATTGCCACCTATTAAATAGTTATGTATAAATAGTCCTAGTCCTATATTTAGTAGGAGTAGAATATGTCCTAGTCCCATATGTAGTAGGAGTAGAATATGTATTATATATAGGGCTCATTGTATCATTGTTAATAAAAAAAGATAGATTTTTCTCCCGTGCATTCTCACACCACCACAAGAGAACATCCACAACTATAAACGCTCTTTCACCACTGCCACCACTTTGCTCCCACCAATCCCAGTCATCTCTCATCATCATGATTTTACTTTTTTTTTTTCATAATACAACCAAGAAAAGACATTCATTTAATCTATAACGTAGAACAAGAACAGGTTCAATTGGTAGTACCAGATCAGATTTATTTTAACTAGTAAATTTTGACGTGAAATTTACATTAATACAGGCCCAACAAACGGAAATGAGCAAAAACAGTTTTGACAATGTTTTAGGTTGAAAATATTTCCCATTTTGGCTCCACTAAACGGTCTCAAGGAGCTCTCCGATGTAGTAATGACAGCTTCAGTCAATTACATGCTCTTAAAATGACTAGTATAAGATGTTTGGCAAGCCCGAAACCTTAGGCCAGGTCATTAAAAAGAAAAAAGAAGAGAACTCGTGATAATTCAAGTATGCAATTACTTAACAAGGCTATGCCTGATTTTCTCTCACTCTGAGACCTAAGTGATTACTCAGCAAAATTATAGAGGTCGAAGCTTTGAAGGATGCATCCATAGGTTTAGGAATTTAATAGAGAAATGCACGGGCTTCAAAGGGATTCTAGAATATTGTATTGAAACTTGTATTTAGAAAATTCAAAACTTTGTAAGGACATTATACCAACGACCAGTGTGGCTAGCCTTCCATCTAGCCCAATACTTCTTCAGAAATTGTTTCTCCACATTCTTTAATGGGCTTGGAACGGCATTTCCAGCTGCGTATCCCTACACGATGAAGCAAGATGCACTAAAATTCATGATACATAAATGAAAGGAGGAGTTAGGTCTCACCTCTGAAACTCAGTAAGTATCTAAAATAGCAAGCAAATGGAGGCATGCACTATAAACTCCGGTTTAACTTGTCAGGTATTTCAATCACATCTATTGCAAATTTCAACTGAATAATAAAGACAAGTTTATAGGTATGGTTTTAAGTCCCACCAATAGGCTGTGCATTTTCCTCTATATAAACAGGTCAAAAATCTCAAGATATGAGGACACCAAAAGAATTAAAGGGACCATATAACTTATGTTTGACATCCATAGTCAAGTTAGTGATGCCAGTAATAGTCTAACAAGAAGACTTGTTCAATATTACCTCCAAAGAACATCTAACATCTTCGACATTGGGCCATACTATCAACGGCTCCCCAATGCCCAGAGGTTTTTTATCTTCTGAAACTCCAGCCGACATTGAAGAGGCGAGCTCCGCCATCCATTTCTCATCCAAAGAACCTAGGGAGGAGAACTGCAGGAGGCAATAGATGAATCACATAAATTGTATGAAAGAGTAGAATGCAGAAAGAGATTTTGTATTTGATAATGCAGGTGCAATATAGAAATAAACATCTGATGAAAGAATCATTGGAGCTGAATGGAATGCAAATACAAATACCTGGTAAATAAGAGGAGATTTCTGAAATTCTTTGCTAAAAGTACATTCCTGAAGAATAGTACGTAACTTCATATGACCCCACTTCTTCAAACTAGGACCTGAATGATATCCAGGCACAGATGCAATTAGCCTAACCTGGAATTGAAGAAACGACGACTTCAAGGTCACGTTATCACATTGCACCTTAAATGGTACAACAAACAGTTTCCCAGCCACCTTCTTAAGAATGCCAAGCAACGATTTACACTTCTTGTCACCTCCGCCCCGACATGGAAACAAGAATCTTAAACGGAGAATCAGCCACTACGATAACTAGTGAAAGAGAACATAGCACCCAGTTACAAAGGCCTTCCTTTCCTATTTTCACACATGTTAAAGCAAACTTTTTCACCAAACAATGACACGCTAGCTTCAAAATGTGAATATGAAGTGCCATGTTTGTCAGCTTTAAAGGGCAGCCCAGTGACAAAGCATCCCGCATTCACACAGGATCCGAGGAAGGGCCGCACCCCAAGGGGGTGATGTAGACAGCCTACCCTAATACAAGCATTAGCGGCTGCTTCCACGGCTAGAACCCGTGACCTATAGGTCACACGGAGACAACTTTACCGTTGTTCCAAGGTTCCCCTTCATGTTTGTCAGCTCTATTTTGCTTTTCTTTCTTTCTTTTTCTCCTTTTTAGTGGTGAGGCTGCCTATGAGCTGTAAATGAGAAGAGAGCTGACAGTAAAGAAATGAATATTTATGCCCTGGGGGTCGGTAAAACCTCAGGCACCACAGCATCTGAATACAGAATCAGCACATGAAGTATGAGCAGAAAGGAGATAAAGTTCCATTAAAGAAACGAGCAAATACCGCTGCACTACTGTAATCAAATCTTTTGAAGAACAAGGAATTGATCTTGCAGCTTCCAAAGGCTGGTATGTTAGCAGTAAATTCTGGCCACTGCAAATTTTAACAGAATTAAACAACGTCAAGGAAAAAGGAAATACTCCGACAGAAGAGGGTGAGTTAAAAAGTATGGAAAAAACTAAATCTCATCAGAATGCAGACACCAGGAAAGTGTGAAGCTTCTTGGTCCTGATTTATTGCATAACAAGGTAGAGTTCCCTCTGAAATAGCATGTTATGCAGCATTAACAGATACATATAGTCATAGCTTTCCACATAGAATGAAACACTTAATTTCTTTATTGCCAAAAAAAAAGTGTACTTCTGCATATATAAATAGGCCATCAAGTTTAAGAAACCAAAAGGACTAAAAGCAGGGGAGACTACAAATAAAGATTAAAAGTTGTTCGATGCAATGGAAAGTAATTCTTCATCAGGGTTTGAATTCATCTGTACCTTTAACGCACTTAGATAATCAACCAAATCATTTTCAAATCCCCCATCCTTGCCCAAATTGTTTTGATCCTTCCATGGGAAATCTTGCATCCATAATCCCTGGCTTTTGTTATTCCAATCAACATAGATCAAGTTTGCAGTATGCACAATAACTCTAACTCCTGTTGGATACACAAGAATCATGGCTTTTGAATGATGTGTTCCATATGCAATTGGTAAAGAAGGTTTGTGCAGAACCCAATTTGCGGGCTTGCTTCTCTGTAAAGGAAAACGATAATGAAGTCAAAAATTTCATCTAAGAGAAGCTCCAACGACATCAGATTCTCATAACTTAAAATTTTAACCTTCATGTGCTCCATGACACCATCACCTTCTCCATGAATGATGAGAACATTGGGAATCCGTTTAAGAGCTGGACATGCTGCATTAGAAAGGACCGGGAGAAAAAGATTAACATACTTCATAAAGCAAATAAACTTATACAGAGTATTTAACAATCAATGGCAACCACAAATAAGCACACATAAATACATTTAATGAGACATTTATAAGACTGCATGCAAGTGAACTTTGTGGTAATGTAAACAAGTGAAATTCACAACAGAAAAGTTTGAAAGGGAAAAAGACTGGAGAGTTTCATCAGCAATAGCTGTAAACTTGGACAGAATTAGTATGCTAGGAAACCACTTCATCTAACAACCCAACGTCAAAACGCGTAAATAAAAGGAGAAACAGACAATGGGACAAGACAAGAAACAAGAAAACAAACGAAAAGGCAAAAAATTGACAGAACATACCAGAAAGTAGCCAATCCATATCCACCATGTAATTCGAAAGGATAGCTACAAGCACATTCCCCTGCGATGAAATACAGAATGAAAGTCAAGCCACCAACACAAAACATAGACATTATCCAACAGTTACAGGCTCACATAAAGGGTTCATCAGTTATCATATTGGTACAACAACAACAACAACAAAAACGACCTAGTGAAATCCCACTAGTGGAGTCTGGGGACGGTAGTGTGTACGCAGACCTTACCCCTACCCCGAAGGAGTAGAGAGGCTGTTTCCGAAAGACCCTCGGCTCAAGAAGACAAAAAGACAAAAGGAGACAATATCAGTAACACCACAGAAATAATATGAAAAATATGAACAACATGAAATCAAGAAGAAAGATAGAAAGCAAAAGCGAAATAGTATCCCTACCAAACTAGTCTCACAAAGTTATGACATAAGGCAAGACTCAACTACCTCCTAACCTACATACAACCCTAATACTCGACCTCCACATGTTCCTATCAAGTGTCATGTCCTCGAAAATCTGAAGCCTCGCCATATCCCGCCTAATCACCTCCCCCCAATACTTCTTAAGCCGCCCTCTACCTTTTCTCGTGCCCTCCACAACCAGTCGTTCACACCTCCTTATCGGAGCATCTGGGCTTCTCCTCTAAACATGCCCGAACCATCTGAGCCTCGCTTCCCGCATCTTGTCATCAATAGGAGCCACGCATACCTTATCCCGAATATAAGTTATCATATTGGTAGTGTAAAGAAAATAGACCACCTTGGGCCTAAATCAACCCGAAAAGCTAGATCATGAGATGAGTATTGTCTAATACCATAAAAGAAGACATCAACGCCCATTCCCTCAACCAACGTGGGACATTCTAACACTTCTGCACGTTTTCGACTGGACAGCTGGAGCGTGGAAAATATAACATGGAGGCCCAACTCAATCTTAAAGCTAGCTCATGAGGTGAGGATTGTCAAAAACCATATAAGGAGACAACCTATTCCCTCGACCAATATGGGACATTCTAACAGGTCGCAAATGTAGGACACTTGTACACAGTGAGCACTTGGAACTTGTTAAACAACATCGCTCCAAAGTCTTCACTGCCATATATATANGGAAAGAACCTAGAAACATCAGTTCAGGCAATTCAGAGGCGAACTTGATATCGCATCTGTTTTCACCCCTTTACTAATTCGTGAACACTAATGCACCCAAGGACCAACATCTCATGCAAACAGAACCAATCACACAACAACCATAATGCATAACTCTACCTGAATAACATCATTAATAGAAACGGCCTCGGTATTTGCCCATGCTGGAAGCTCACGCACTCTCATTAATTTGAATGTGAGCGGTAACTTATGCTTCGGAACCCTAAACTGGCGTATGGCCTCAACAGAGCTTTCTGTTTCTTGGCCATTGTTGTGCAGCATATTCTGGATACGAAAGACATGCTTTAACAAGTAAAATTAATTGAAACTTTCTTCATAAATATTTTTTCCGACACGTACTAGTGAACTCTGCCTACTCAGAGACAAAATGAGGAAAGAAAGAAACCCATACCTTTTCTGAAGCTTCCTCTTGACAGACTTCTCGAGCTTTCTTCTTACCATGCATCTGACCTTTGTCGGTAATACTTTCTTCACTGAAAGGCCTTTTTTGTTTGTTGATTGTTGAAGTTTCATCCTTAGGAACTGTGCTAACATACTTAAATAGGTAATGGCCCGGTATCAACTCTATGACATCACCACTTTCAATTTTCCACCTCTCTCCAGACAAAAGCTTCTTTCTCTCACCCTTTAATCTTATAACAACGGGATTCGTTCCTTCCTACAATCCATTCTCCATGTTTAGTCCAAAGAAAAGACTTCAATAGAAAATTAAAAAGTAAGAAACTTACGTACTTTTACATTAATAATTTGAAAAGCAATCACACTGTGAATAGAACTCATGCATTTAAGCAATGTATACATGAATTTAGGCGTCACGACTTTAAAAAACTGCCACCAACCCACCGAATCACTCTGTATACAATCCTAGGAAACTTAGCAGCACATTCACCATTACAACTGCAGACTCAAACAAGATATTATCAAGAATCCTAGTATCCACAAGTTACAAACAGATAATTCATAATAAACACAAGAGCAACACACACTCCTGTGTGTTTGTGTACACACACATAAATGTATGTATGTATGTATGTATTAACTATGATGAATCATCCAAATATTGAATTCAACCTGAATAGAGTTAATGGACATATCCGACCTAACTACTTTGAGATTGAGGCATTGTTGATTGATTGATTGATAAATGAAAAAATACATGAATAGTATTTGAATATGGACGTGAAGGAAAATTAGTTAGAAAAGTACCACGAGGACATCAGTGGAGCCAGTGGAGGTGGCAGTGACAGTAAGATGCTTGCGGCTCAGCCGTTTATCAGTAACTGGAATGCAATCGCGGCCCACCCAATTAAACCCTTCTAGAAGTGGAATCTTAGGTATGGAACTTTTCTCATCCTCTTCCAAATTATCACTTAGAGGCACCAAAAATCCAACCTTTGGAACCAAACATAAAACAAAATCAATGTGAGAACTAGAAAAATACAAAAAACTAAGGTTGTGTTTGGTATGACGGAAAATGTTCTCAAGGAAAATAAGCCATTTCCTGGTGTTTGGATGCCATAAAATATTTTCCAGAGATAAAAGTTTCCACCAAAAGATGGAAATATCTTTCCTCACTTTTGGGCAGAAGTATCTTTTCCTTCACAATAATCTCAACTCTTAACTATATATCACTGCTTTAACCAACAATTAGACATTATTACAATCTTTAATACTTAAAACTCTCATTGAACACCATCCAGTTTGCTAATAGTATTCTCAATCTTTAATAAATATTTTTTTCCAAAAAATATTTTCCGCTCTCATTCTCCTCACACCAAACATAACCTAAAATAAAATAAAGCCATGCTACTAATATACAGAGTTTAAGTTTTATGCACTGTAAGTGCAGTAGCGGAGCCAGAATTTTCACTAAGGGGTGTCAAAATTTAAAGAAGTAAATACACAAAGAAGTCAATAGGTTCAATACATAGTATATATACATAAAAAAATATTTTTTACCTATTTAAACAGTGTATTTCTCTGCAAAAGGGGTGTCAGTAGACACCCCTAGGAGCTATGTAGCTCCGCCATTGTGTCTGTGTAAAGATTTTATACACTATCAGTGTTACTTTAAGGGCCTCCCTAACCGGTGAAAAGTGGTGGGTGTCCACTAACGGCCAACCCTGGCTCGGCTCCAATAACACAATTTCGGGAGGAGTTGGTAGTTGGGGGTTTTCCGCGTTACTGTTCCAATGTTCAGAAGGACGAATGCTACTAGGGGAGTGCAGAAAAGAACAGCTTAAGATGGAAGAGTGAATGCTGTTGAGCCTAGAGCTCGGGAAGCTCTAAAAGTAAGTTCAAGTCGGTCACTTTAAGTTAATTACAGGTAAATCTTTCGTCAAACAGTAGTTGTTAAGCTGGTAAATACAATAACTAATAACTAACCGATTATCAAAGGTCAAAATCCACTGATAGTGCAAAATATCTTTACATTGTCTGTGTACAAAACTTAAACCCCTAATATATATGACACCAACTTAGTTGAGGAATGTTTATTCTGGATTGTAGCATAATTGTAATTTAGAGAATCACTAGCTTTAGACAAATTTAAATTTTTTTGTTAAAGCAAACAAATTATTTAGTACTACTAAAATGAAATGGAATTTTTGGAATGAATTGTTTAATAGAGAAATTACCTGAACCTGACAAGATGTGGACATTGAATTGTAAGGTGTTAAAGAAAGGCCAAGAAATTATTTTGGGGTTTGTGGAAATGCAGTAAGGAAGATTTTTGGGGTGGCAGCGATGTAGCAGTTGGTTTTTTACCGTTCGGTGCCGCCAGCTTCCCCTACTGAAAATACAATTGCAAACGAGGGCAAGAAGCATGTACAGTACTGTTTTTTTCTGATTATTTTACGTTACTTTTTGAGTTCTCTCTCTCTCTTTTGGTTTCATTTTTGGTGTTCTGCCTTTGAATACTTCTCGTCATGATTTAAATTATACTATATACTATAGCACAATTATTTGATCTATTATAATAAGTTATTATTATTTACAACTTTTAGTTTAGGTATCTAAATGTAAAACTGAGACAAAGTTTAAGGAACTGCATATGTATTTAGCCTTGATAAAAATCATTTCCATTTCCTTCGGCTGTGACTAAAAGTCTACTTTACCTATATTTCCCTCAAATATGAGGTAACAATATAAATTTAAACTACAATTATATCGTTTAATAATTATTAAGTTTTGTAACTTTTGGAGCTGGTTGACAATCGTTTAGCAAGTCTCTCTCGCTCTTTAATAGACATCGTACGGTTCTTGGTCATCATCCTTTGGTTGCTTGACCGGGATAGAGCCCACACTTCGTTAAACTTTTTAAGATTTAAAAGCACAAGGATAAAAAATGTACTTGTCAATTGATTGAGGTTAATGTACTTAACTAGATATTATAAGTGCCAAAATAAAAATCTATCAATAATTTAGGGACTAGTAGTGCAACCTTTAATATTTGAAAGTATATGTACATGTGTGTATATATACACACACTCTTTATATGTATGATGATTATGTGTCATGTCGGCGTATATGTAGAGGCGGATGCACACTATGGGTTAAGGGGTCACATGCACCCCAAAACTTCAGCAAAAACTCCATGTGTACTTGCAAATGTCTTCAAGAAATAGTTAAATATATGCATAAGTCCTCGTACAAAAAATTTCTGAGCAATGATAAATTTGTATTGAATGTCATAGTGGCCCGGCGACCGTCAAATCCTGGGTCCGCCTCTGCATATATGTGAGCAGTAGATTTATTTTGAGTCAGATTCAGATCGATCAAAGATGAAAGAAAGTCAGTGGACTTTATTAGCAGAGTTATATTGTAACTCTATTTCCTATGTAATATATTCTAACTAGGTTGTACAGTAGGAGTTTTACTATATTTAGAGTTCTTCTTGGCTTCAGTAGCCCTCTATTGTAACGTGTATATAAGCATATATTGTGCCTATGGAGAATAACGAATAGTGGAGGTTTCACTGCAATTCTTTTGCTTCAGTTTTTACATGGCATCAGAGCCTTGTTGGCTAAACATCTAGAATAATGTTCAAGCATCAACAAGGCTTAAAAGGAGAAGAGTTGAAATCGATTGGTTTCAGTTCACCATTTTATCCTCATGCCTCGGACAATCCCGGGATATTACTTACCTCATGTCTGCTTGATGGAACAGATTATGCAACATGGTGTAAAGCCATGAAAAACGCTCGAAGATCCAAAAACAAGTTGGGTTTTGTGAATGGTTCAATCACAAAGTCGAAGGATGGAACTCTAGAGGCGAACTCATGGGAGAGGTGCAATTTTAATTATCATATCATGGATATTCAATTCACTGGACAAAGGTTTACACAGTAGCATAGCATATGCTGAAACTACAAGAGAAGTTTGGGTAGATCTAGAGGAACGTTTCTTCCAAGGGAAGGCTCTAAAAATTTACCAAATCAAAAGGGATATCAGTTTTCTCGTACAAGATGGACAAACAGTGCTTGCCTACTACACCAAATTAAAGGCGCTATGGGACGAGCTAAAGGACCTCGACCCGCTGCCTGAATGCAATTGTGAAGCAAAAGATGACCACCAATGCATACAAGAAGAGGAATGAGTTTACTAGTTCCTCATGGGCCTTGATTCAAGGCTCTATGATTCAGTGAAATCGCAGATCCTTAATGTTGAGCCAATGGTGAACTTAAGGAAGGAATATTCCATGGTCGTCAGGGAAGAAGGCCAGCATAATGTTGACTTACAGAGGGAGATAAAGCACGAAGGTTCAGCTTTCTACACGGCTGGAAATACCAATACCTTGTTTGGATAGAGTGGAACAAAGGAGAACGTGCGTTCCAGGTGCAGCCACTGCCAGAAAATAGGCCACGATAGGAGTCAATGTTATGAAATTATTGGGGATCCACCTACCTAGAATACACGTAGATCTGGAGCAAGAAGCAACAACAAAGGGCGTCCAAACTTAGGGGGAGTTATTGGACGAGCATCTCATGCAACAGCTATGCACAACGCCAACAATAATCAATTTGAAGGTCACATAGGGCTGACGATGGATCAAGTCAAGCAGTTGTTTACTCTATTCAAGCAGAAGGAACAACAAGAGGACAATACAGTTCAAATAAGTGGAAAGCTAATTCATAATTCTTGGTTAATCGACAGTGGAGCATCTCACCACATGACACCATTTAAATAATTATTGAATGATCTTCATGAGTTAAAGGTATTAGTGCTAATCATGATGCCCAACGGAGAGAAGTTAAAGGCATACCAAGCAGGGAGCGTCAGATCAAACACTATAACCTTATATGAAGTGTTGTTTTGCCTAGTTTTGCCTGAAACTTAATTTCTGTACATAAGTTGGCAAAGGAAAGTAAACGTATAATAATCTTTGAAGCCTTTAATTGTTTGATACAGGACTACACACTGAGAAGGCAGATTGGACAGGGTAAACTTGCCATTGGAGTCTATTATTTAGAGAGCATGGTGCAAGGTTGCAGTCTAGTTGTCATTCCAAGCAAGGATGAAGACCTTTGGCATGCAAGATTGGGGCATCCATCATATGGAAGCATGGTTCAATTGTCTAGTTTACTTGATGTTAGATTCAATAAAAAATCTTCTTTCCCTTGTGATATTTGTTATAGGGCAAAACAAACTAGAATGCCATTTGCTGATAGTAGTAAAAAAAAGACTAGACCATTGCTTTGATGCACTGTGACTTACGGGAAAGATATAAAACCCCTTCTTTATTTGGAGCACATTATTTTCTCACCATACTGGATGAATATAGTTGAGGGATATAGGTCTACCTTCTTAAAGAAAAGAGTGAAACGTACAAAGTGATCAAAATTTTTTGTGCGACGGTTGAGAATCAATTCAACTTAAAGGTACAAAGAGTTAGAAGCGACAACGGCATGGAATTCATAGGGGCTGTTACAAGCATATTATAGGGAAAAGGGAATAATTAGTGAAACATCTTGTGTAGGAACACATCAACAAAATGAAAAAGTTGAAAGAAAACATCGCCACATAATGAATGTAGCAAGGGCCTTACGGATTCAAGCAAATCTGTCATTGATTTTTGTGGGAGATCGCGTGCTACTGCTGCTCATTTAATAAATAGAACTCCCACAAAGGCAAGCTCACATAAAACACCATATGAGTTATTGTTTAACAAGTCACCAAACTATAATCATTTAAGAACTCTAGGATACATATGCTATGTTAGACCAAGTCATGGACAGAAAGACAAGTTTGGCGAAAGAGCAATAAGATGCATTTTCATAGGATATCCTCAAGGTCAAAAGGGTTGGAAAGTGTACAATTTGGCGTGAAGGACATCTTTTGTTTCACGCGATGTAGTGTTTGAAGAGAAAGTTTTTCCTTTTGCCAAAAAACATTGGGATGATCATAAGTGACAGTGAACAAGCAATAGAGACATTTAGATGCGTCAATGAAATACCTCCAGTTGAGGAAGATATTGAGCAGCCGCAAAATGATGATAACACTCAACAATTTGATCAACTCGATGCAGGAAATGCACCAGCGATGCCCGAAGAAAACCTCAACATTGAAGAGTCCAATATCCAGGATGATACACATGGGCAAAGTATTGAAGAAACTGCACATTACATTCCAATAAGAGAAAAACAACAACCAACATATCTCAAAGATTATGTGTGCCATGCAATCTCTAAACAAACTCCAAAGGCGGTGGACATCCAAGCAGCCTCTTCAGGTAAAGAATATCCTCACTCGAATTATCTTTCATACACTAAGTTCTCACCTCTTCAATGTGCCTTTCACGCGGCCATCACTACACATGATGAGCCAAAATCTTTCCTCCAGGCAATAAAAAGTGATGCATAAATAATGTCAAGGTCGTACGACCCAATCCAACATAAAAGTAAAGTGTGCACTGCCGGAGGGTCGAACGACGCGAATTATAGATGCATCTATTACCCCACTCGCGAATCATACATGCGATGCAGTCAAAAACAAATAAACATATCAAGCAATCAATCAATAATTTATAAGGAAAACAATTATCCACAGTAATATCAAACTTCTCTTTAACGATCAAGAAAATATTGTTTAAATTTTTAGAAATTCATTTGCCAGGTTCGATATGATTCACGTAATCTAATTTAACAATAAGGTTACAAATATGGCAAGTAAAACATGCTTTTGGGTCCTAAACTACCTGAACTTAAGCATAATAGTAGCTACGCCTAGACTCTCATCACTTCGTGTATACGTAGCCCCTGCACTTAGTGGTAAATATTCAATTATTTCTCCTATACGGACAGTTTCCTCTTACAAGGTTAGAAAGGAGACTTACCTTGCTCCACGATCTACTTTCCGGTCTAAGCTTATGCCCAAACTCTCAAATTGGCACCAAACACTCTAAAACTATCCAAATAGCATAAAAACTAATCAATATAGGCTTAAAAGTTCATATCACAACTATTAGAGTGATTCCCCAACCCAAATTACAAGATTCCTAAAATCATCCCCGGGCCCACGTGCCCGGATTGCGGAAATATTTGAAGAAAGTTATTACCCATAACCTAAGGATCAAGAATATATGATTTTTACCCCATTCCATAACAAATTTCGTGGTTAGATCGCATTTTTGTCAAAACCCTAAGTTTTACTCTAATCCCATACTTTTCACTAATCTTGTTGTGTTAATCTACCCAAAAACCAAGTATTAAACTCACATTAAGTAGGAGTAACTTACCTCACAAATGCTAGGTTGAAATCCCCTCTTTGGAAGCTCCCAAATCGCCCAAACAATGAATGAAATCTGTCAAAAATGACACATTTCCGTATTAAATGAAAGCACTGCCTTCAGCGATTTTCGCACCTGCGGTTAGGGGACCACATCTGCGGTCTCGCTTC